AAGAGAGAGAGAGAGAGAGAGAGAGAGGGAGAAGGGTGTTTGCGGTCCTCGTGGTCGCAAAAAACGACGTTAGGTCCTTCTTCTCTGCCGCGTTGTTCCACGGCCCGTAATGGCAGGCGGAGGCAGAATAGAGCGGTCTAGAGGCGCGCGGAACGGTCGGCTAGCGGAATAACGGAATGGCCAGCGCACCGTCCCCCTGATTGCAGTTAATTTACTCGGTGAATCGAGTTAATGTAGCGTGGCCGATCGTACGCCGCCGTTACCATGCCCTGACGTATCGGTCGAAGAAGCTCGGGCTCATGCTCGTCAGGAATTTCTCATTTCCGCGCGAAAGAGAGAGAGAGAGAGAGAGAGACACTAATCCCATCGAAAAACGAACTTACTTCAGTTGCCTGGAGCAAGAACCGGAAGACACACGAAGCGTCTGGAAGCGCCGCTAGAAGCTGAAGGAAGATGATATCGATAACCCTGCTCTTGAGAACGAACCAACTCTGGAATTATTCTTCTGTGACCAAATTGTATATACGAAGATAATTGCGTTTAAACAATTATCATTCGTTAATTCATCAATCCCCAGCGGATGGAACTCAAATATCCTCGAATTCGCGGTGAGAAATAATCGTGATCTGGTCGGCGTAGTAACAAGTGTCCCTCTCCGGGGACAGGAGAGATTAAACTCGGCCAGACGAGTCGACGAAACGAAATATAACGCGTGGCGTATAAATTCCAAATGGAGGGGAAAGTCGCGAAAATTGTTCACATTGCACGCGCGGGTGCACGCGTGCACGGTTGTTTCCGCGACGCGTTACGAGCGACGCGGCAGGGTTGGGGGGAGGAGAGAGAGAGAGAGAGGGAAGGGGGGGTCCATATCGTCCTCGTGTTGATTTACGCGGCGCACCCTGCATTTTTACTGCCGCGTTATAGAGATTTAAGTGCAGCCAATTATACGTTTACGCCGTTTCTCGCTCCATCAACGTTGGAACATCGGAAGACGCGGGCGATCCTCCTCCTCCTCATCCTCCTCCCCGGGCTCTCTCCACCCCCCCAAAGCAGAAAACACGTACGCGTGTACCCGTTCCTCCTCGCCCCTCATCTCCTCCTCTTCATCTGGCTGCCTTCTTTCTTTCGAGCTGTCGCGATCTATACTTAGCCGATGGGTCAAGAATAAGCCGAGTCTCACGTCGGCCTGACTATACGCTATTTCTAGAGGAGGAGCGGACACGGTCAAAACACGCGGTCCCCACGCCGAGCAAGTGACTGCCTTCGAAACAGCCTCCTCTCTGTCTTGGCGCTACGCCTCGTTCCGCCGATAACGGTATCTCGAAGGAAGCGAAAGTCTTTTTTCCTTTTTTTTTTTTTTTCTTTTCTCATCGAGTCCCTCGGTGAGAAAGAATAGTTAATTACACGCGTATGTAATGATGTATATATTACGTGCGTAAAATGGAGCGGAAAAGGGTAGTATCCGGTTCGAGGAGATCGAAAGGCGAGTGATTTGGGCGAGTGGTTGCGCGCATAGGTTAGGTTGATTGGTCGAGGAAAATAATAAAGGAGAAACGGCGGTGATAATCGTGATCGAGAACTAATGAGGCGGTCGTACACGTGATCATTAGCAAAACTGCATACGTATCCCACGAAAGCGGTGGGACGGATAACGAGAGAGGCTTAAACGCTACGATAACGCGATAATTCAGACAGGTAGGCAGGTAGCAATTAATGTCATGACGGTCTGCGTGCCGTCATTTTTTCTTTTTTTTTTTTTTTTTTTTTTTTTTCCTTCTATATTCTCATCGAGATCGAGTCGCGTGTGGATGGATGACAGAAGAAAAAAAAGGAGGGGGGAGAGGCATAGAAAAATACGTCTGAACCGAAGGAGCCTCTATCTCTATTTGGAGGGTGACCGCCACGGATCGTCGAAATAAACCGCGCATATGGCCACCGAAAATAAACTCCTTATTCCCATCCCGTCGAACGAAGCGAGGACCCTGTTCGGATGAGCCTCCTCCTCCTCCACTTCCCTTTCTTCGCTCCTCTTCACGGTGTCTCGGTGGCTGCTCGCTCCAGCGGCGCGGATACGCTTCGAACTCTTCACGAAACGTGCGCCACGTTCGACCTTCTGTGCCGGCGTGTAGGTAGAACCGTGTATACCGGATACCGAGACATTTATTTGCTGTCACACTGGTACGCGAACGTGTCGAGTGGCCAGGGAGCGGATGGGAGAGAGAGAGTGTCAGGGAAGGAGGAAAAGGAGAATCGTTTTGTAGGGTGATTTTGGGTGGGTGTCACGTTTCATTGTCGTGTGGAGGGTTCGTCTAATT